CGTTCCCCTACCTAACGAAAATATACTTTATTATAGTGTTTTGGAAAGCTCTTGAGGTAAGCTATAAAAATATGAATTAAAAAACGGGTTTCCATTTAAAAATTTCAAGGTGATCTTTACGTGACCTTGAGGAAGCTGTTCAAGGTCATATTTATATTACTATGTAATGCATTACTTAAAACCGTACAACTTTAATGTTTAACATTTTTTCCATCTTACATATTTAAAAAGTTATTTAGAGTTACCTTATAAGGATACATACAGACATACATACATACATACATACACACATACATACATACCGACATTTTTTCTGAATGCGATTTTTGGACGTTTTAGAATATTCTAAACATGTTTTCAAAGAAAACTGGAAAAAAAATTTTTTCACGAAAACAAAGCTTCCTCTATGAGGAAGCAAAAAAGCGGTATTTTGCAAATTCCGTACGTGGTTCGAAAGAAACTGTTACATATTTTTAAAAAATCATTGGTTTTTGTTCTAGCTGAAAGGGTGAGGGAGTTTTGTTTCCGCCCGCGGGACGACTTCCGCAAAGAGGCACTTTGGATCCTTGGCTCTGGTGCCGTTATTTTGCTGAGGAAACATTTATACAAAATTCTTTTTACACTTTAATGCATAGGGAATAATAAGAATTGAACAGATTTTCATTTATGTTTATTATATTTCTGAAAAAAATCACCGAAAATTGGCTTTTTTGGGGACTCTAGGGTATTGTAACCTCTTAAATTAATTATTATTATTTCCATGACATTTACGAGAGTATAATTTTGATGAACAAAATCACTGTACATACCTGTATGCGTGCGTTTTTCAATCTACATACGGCAAGATTGGTTAGTAGTTCTATTATACAGGTAAATTCCGACAAAGACTTCATTAGTGTTGTTACATCGTGTCGATATTCATAAATGGTGCGCATTAATGTCATTTGCACGATAAACGCATTTAAAATAGTAAAATTGCAATAGATTTTTTTAAAAACAAACACGAGTTTGCCAACATTAAGATCGTGCGACCACATACATGTCAACAAGTTATTACAAATTTGTACAAAACGAAGTACACGGCAAACTTTTGGACTTAACAGTTTCATTATTCCATTCGAGTTGTTTGCAAGGACCGAGAAACACATTGACGAACTGTCTGACAGAATATTCCTGATAAAGTTAGAAACCGGAGTAGTTAAAATGGAGTAAGTCGATAGCTCGTTTATCAGAAACGCGATAATTGTGATGAGAATATTTAATGCTAAACAGTTGACTAATAAGCTTTGCTACCTATAAGAAAACAATTCTGGGTTATTTATTTAGGAGAAGATTAGTCGCATTGATTACAAAGGGCACGAAAACATTATACAGGATATTATCAAGTGAATATTTTAGCTTAATATTAAGGAAAAAACTTAATTCTCGGTGAAAGCATTTTATCGGACATATGCTTCTTAAACATATTGTTACACAGTTGGAAAATTTGTGTTTTCTTGTTAAAGAATGCAGGTTAAAATTGTTGTGTCAAATGTTTAATACGTTCATGTGTTAATTTAACATATTGCTCTTGTGTTAATTGACCTTAAAT